TTCGCAATCCTACGTCGAATTCAAAGTCGTTATAACGCAACTCGCTTTATGATTCTTTATGATCTATCTTAGGATAAATAAATATATAAATATAAAAAAAGCACTAATAAAATTAAATATAATGCATTGAAGACAAACTCGCAATTCTGTAAATAATATCGAATTCCTCAAAACTATATATTATAACATTTGGAATTATAATTTTTGTATAATTCTTTTTCAGAACTCATACGGTCGACCGGATGAGGTTATCGCCGCAGAAACTTTAGCCAATCACATTCGTTGCAACAATTCGTTTGTGCAGGCGGTATTCCAAGCACAATTCCGTTCGTCTCTCACATGCCCWCGCTGTAAAAAACAGTCAAACACATTCGATCCGTTCCATTGCATCTCGGTGCAGCTGCCGCAATTAATGCAGCAAACGATTTTCGTGACCGTAGTGTACTTGCAACGGGACCCGCGTCAAGTGAAGATCGGTATTAGTGTGCCTACTGGTTCGCCAATTGTCGCACTACGCGAACAATTGCAGGCTGACACTGGCATTTTAGGCAAACACATGGTATTAGTTGACATCAGCAAAGAGGGTTTCACGCGAGTTTTCTACGACTCACAACCGGTGGCAACACTAAGTGGCATCGAATCCATTTACTGCATTGAAGTACCCGAAACAAAGGTCACATCAACAGCGGTAACAACGTCAGCAGTAAAAGTGGACACTGAAAAAGGTGACACAAGTCGGAGCAACAACCCCAATCCCAATCAAAGTACAGCGAAAAGTGCTACATCGACGGAGGTAAACAAAAATAGTTCGACAGGCAACACTGCCAATGCAATCACAAATGGTGCTAAGACCACTAACACTTCGTCTACTGCCAACACAACCAATGAACTACTCCTGTTAGTGGCAAATGTGCATAAACGTAAAACGGATGTTGAAAATAAAGAGACACCGAATGGCGAATGCTTGCTTACACATTCCGTGGAACGTTTCGGAATGCCATTCAGCTTGCTAACAACCCGAGATTGCTCTTATGCTGATTTACAAAAGCGACTATTACGCGAAATGACGCSATTACTGAAACCTGAGGTTTTCTCCAGTGGAAAACAGAAGACCGATCTGTTTCAGATACGTCTACAAGATCCGTCCGCAGATCCAGATACATATTTACAGAATGTTGAACATCCACTGCTAACAGAGATGATCGATCTGGCTTTATCTGTGCTTTCATCTGAAGCTGGTCCACCGCATATAAAACTTTTATTAGAATGGACTGAGCCGGAAGAGTACTTTGTGGATCTCAGTGATAAAGTGGTCGAAGATGAAAGTGTGGCACGTTTGCTCAATGTTGGAAAACTGAAAACCACAAAAGACACGTCAGTACTTACTTTAGAGCAATGCCTTGAACACTATACCAAAGCGGAAACCCTGAGCGCCGAAGATGCTTGGCGTTGTCCACACTGTCAGCAATATTTGCCGGTTGTGAAAACACTCGGTCTGTGGTCGTTGCCCGACATCTTGGTCGTGCATTTCAAACGATTCCGACAGCATCACGAAAAAGGTGCCAATGCAGCTAAACTTACCACTATGGTAAAATTCCCATTGAATGCATTCGATATGTCTCCACATTTGGTGCGTGGTGTGGAAGGTGAGAATGGTCCGCGTACAACGCTTAGTGCTGCAGCTGCCATGGATAATGGACCGCTTTCTCGATCAAATCCATGGAAAAAGTCTCGACCAGGAGATTCGCGATCCTCAACACTTAGTTCACGTGATAACCGAGAAACCCGTTATGATTTGTACGCTGTATGCTATCATCAAGGGGACACTCTCGAAACGGGTCATTACACAGCAGCATGCAAAAATCCATACGACAGGCAATGGTACAAATTTGATGATCAACGGGTCTCTAAAGTGCCCAAYGCGTCAATCGAGGAGGAGATTATCAATAATGAGGCTTATATGTTATTTTATCAGCGTCGCGTTGGTGATGCAGCGGAATGCTCCGGCTCTAGTTCGAATTCGGGAGATCATTGGGTTTCTCGAATCGCACCACCACCGAATCTGACAGTTGTTGAAAAGATAAGTGCTGCGGAGGAGAAAGTTATCGAAGAAGATATATCCGACGATCGAAAGAATATTGAGATCGCCACCACTGCTATAATAGAGACATTACCAGGAAGAACAGAAGAAAAACCAATTGACATACCCAAAATAAATAAAGCTGCACTTGAAAATGACACCGTTGTCGAAGGTAATAAAGCTTTGATAACATATGCATTGTTTTTTTCTAATAAACTTTATTTACAGTGAAAATAGAAACATTGCCGATRGTTGTGAACAATGAAAATATTTCGGTCGATATCGAAACTCTAGAATTTGCTGATTCAGAATCCGTTTCCCCCGACGACGATAGCTCTGTTGTGGCCACAAATGCAGTTAGCGCATTGAAAGCGTTGAATACACTAACACCAAATAAAATAGTAGAAAAGAAGAACAGTGTTAGCGTAACTCAGATCTTTGCTATGGATGAAGACTGTCAAATTGATGAAAACCAATCACAGGAAACGGCAGTACCCCCTACCCATACAGCAACTACACAAATCAAATCACAAAAAWCCCCCTTAACACTACCGAAAGCTGTGGCAGATGCAAAGACGGAGATAGCAGTTTCTTCCACGGGGCCAAACAAGCCTACAGTAAACACAACCGCTAAAGTATTAACTAATGGCTACGCTACAGATGACTCCAAATCGCCAAATCAAAAGTTGAACATTACACAACCGGTTGTAAATGGTAAACCGAAGAGTCCCGCTACGTCTATCGTAGCAACAACACCAATACCAGCCGGTATGAATGGCAGTCGCGTAAGAAATTCCTCAACATCTTCTTCCAGTTCTTCCTTATCGTCACACTCATCGCCACACTCGCTGGCCGTCTCCATACATGGCGCATCGACATTACAAAGCAAGTTCAACGGCTTTACAACCACATCAGCCACAGCGAGTAGTAACTATAAAGAGGTATTGCTCTCAAGCAGTCTGAAAAGTAACAGTAGCAGTATTATTAGCGCTGCTGTGGCAGCGCACACAGCCCACGAATTCCACCTAACACGCCACCAGCCATGGAATGGCAGTCGTTCGAGTGTTTCCGCGCTGGAAAGCGGCACACAGACAAACAATCATCAACATATGCACGGGCTCAATCTAAGGCATTCGTTCTCAACAAGCTCTAATTGCAAATTGCGCGAATGTAGTGAAACACTTTCATCGATGTTGCGCAATTCGAGYAATACCTGCAGYAAAGATACGCTGATATTTATCGATCAACAGAATCATCATCATCACCACCACAGCTTAATCGAAGATGACGACGATTCGTTCATGGACAGTCGATCACTCTGGGTATGTTGTACACATTAGTTATCATATTTGTCATTTCGACTAAAATTATTAATTTGTATTGCTTACAGATTTCACCGGTAACACCACACAAACTAATAACGGTATCGCCCAAAAACTAAGTTGGCGCCGATCAGCGGGCTTTGCCCTGCAGATATCCATATTTGGGTACAATATTTGAGGGGACAAGCTAAAACCGTCTTTAACATGTCTGCTATTGAATCCAATTAAATCGCAGGTGTATGATTTAAAGATATTTACGATTATTTTAATGTTAAGAGTACAGTGACCAAATTTATATAAATTATACACATTGTGTATACATTTGATATGTACAATACGTATGTATGTGGGCTTTAGTTGACATTTAGTTGTGTACAAACAAATGTCAAGTGTATATTCGACGCCTGTAAACYGATTAGAGGCAAACAAATGCAATAGAAAATTTACAACACATTATTGATAATTACCAGTGTATGTAGGAAAGTACAGTTATACAATTACTTTAAAAAATACTCGTATACGTTGATTCCGAGCTGAGCAGAGTTAAAACTGCAGWAGTTGGCTTATTGATTGTTGCTACATTTTACACAAATTGAACGAAATGAAAGAGCTGTGCAAAAGTAATAACAGTTTGCTGTATATGAATTAATCTTAAGTGGTGGATAAGTAGCTGACATATAGCTTTGCATAAGCATGATAACTTGAATTTGAATTTCAATATGAAACATGATATAAGTACATAGATTAACGGAAAGCATGTTAATTATTAGAAGAAAGAAAACATTATATTATTTAGTGCTGTAAGCAAAATTTTATAAAATATGTTTATATTATAATTATTATATAAAGCCGGGTACAAGACTATTGAAACAATAGCATTACGATACAGTTCATAGATATATAGTGCCGAGTTTGTTTTTTGATTTAACGAACTACCGCTATTARAAAATGAAATGCCTTTTCTCTGACGATTTTCAATGTTTTCGCAGTGACACAGCGTCATAACTAAGGCATTTGAAATGCTTGCGATTACAACCTCCCCAACTATAGATAAACTCAATTATAATTGAATATAATTTTAACTTAAAATTAATCACAAGTAGTGATTTCTGCAATTTCGTCAACTCTTCATGTCCTGCATTGAAGAATACGAAAAACATAACAACATGTATCCTTAAGTATCCAGAATACATCATTTGGCAGTGAAACTCTGCAATCATAATTACCAAATATATATTTTTAACTTTTATTTTTTTGAACTCTACAATTTCGCGTAGCCTCGTTTATTTTTGTTACGGATTTTACACAAAATGACGAAATAAATGCAATACCACTGTATGTACGAACGAAACGAAGTATTTATGTAATTATATTACATAACATTATTATTGAAACTTGCATACATATATGATCTATGTATACGTAACTTAGCACCTTGCAATAAGCTAAAAACCAAATGTAACACTTTAAAGTAGATTTTAAATTAAAATCAAATATATGAATGAAGCATATATGTAAGTATATATATTATATTAACATAAAAAAAAATTTAAAGACTTTGACTAAACTTTGTTTATATAAAGAGRAAAGTAATAACATTAATGTATTCATATATCTTTATTTATCAGAAATACAAGTAAAGTAAACGTTGTTAAAATGATGAAATCTATTTAAGGTGAGATGAATTGGAAATAAAAGTGAAAACACAAGCCAAATTAGAAAAATGCTTTTKAATACCCTTAACAGAAATGTTTGAAACCACATTTTTTATTCCTTTAMCTTTTCCCACTTTGCTTTTGGTCCTAATTTAAGTGTAAACTCGCTTTAGCAAAGTGAAGTAAGTATAGGAGGCATTCAGCAAAGATTGAAACAGCTCCAGCGAAATCGGTTGAGTATTGCCCACCATTATCTGAAAGCGGCAAACATTCGTTAATGTACTCATGTGTGGTAATTTAATACACAAGTCTACCGCTGGTGGCTTTTGTGCGCGCAAGATCATCAAAAGAATATATTTTTGCACGGGTATCGGAAATGTGAACCATTCAGTATCGTAGGCGGCGGCTGCGATAGCRAGATTCTGCGAACATAAGATACAAATAGAAAATAACAGGAAAAATCTTTAACTTTGGTTGGACCGAAGCTATAATACTTCACAAATACAAAGGATTGCGAAGTGGATTTTGATTGACCGGTCTGTATGGTAGCTACATACGGAGATATGTGCCACACCTTTTTACCCTTGCCTTGGACTACAATCCATGCCAGTACAGCAACTGTGTTGCATATTGGCTGATATTCTGCTAATGTGCATGTGCAGACAAAAATTGAATTTTGCCGATTATTTGTATAATTTACGCGCAAAAAGTGACAGTAGAAACTGATGCTGTTGACAAATTTGCAACACTGCTGTCGTGATTGCCATCTCGAATGCACCCGAYATCGTCAAACAAAAAGTTCTTCATAAAAGGACAGAATTTTGAACGATAAGTTTGTATAGCAACTAAATGGTTCGATATCTGCGCTTTCGACAAATAAGCAACTTATTCGGGAAAAAGAAACGTCTGCAAAACTTCAGAGCTTGAGATATCGCTCTGTCGTGTGTATACCCTGGTCAGAACAAAACAAATACGAATGTGCAATTACCTGCTCACGCAGTTCGTTCGCATACCAATACAACGATAAGATCTGTGCAAATATCATGGCAATATAAGCGCAAACTATAATCGCCTGAGCCGAGGAGTCAACCTAGAATAAGATTGATAAAACACTTAAAAAAAGAAACGTGAGCAACTTACAATGATTAGCAGGAACAATAAGGCGCATAGCAGTGTGCCGAAGGCTAAAAATTCCAAGAGAAATATGTAAGTYGTCAAAGCATTTACGCGCGCAATGTAACTGTAAATGCATACATATGTATATTTAAACTGATGAATGCTAGATTAAAAACGATATTTACTCAATAATGGACAGTTGATAGCGTATGCATTCCCGAACGTCTTTATGAATGAGGGATTCAATGTGACGCACGCTGTGCAACGTCTTCAGCCGAAACTGCAGTGCCTTGCACATCACAATGCCAAACATGATGAAAGCCACTATCAAACTTGTRTAGGGAATGTACATGCAACAGCCCATGGGCGTGATTACCATTTGATAGATATACCAGAACTCGTAGAACGGGCTTTTGTATTCCTCAACGCCCGGAATCATGCTTCCAAAGGGCAAAACTTTAAACAAAAAATCAAAGGGGAAACGACACGATGCAGAGCTTATACAAATATTGGTGCACAATTTCTACAAATGACGGAGCATACCTCTTTCCGTGGCAAAGAGTGGATAGAAGCCAAAGCCAAAGCAGGTGAGTAGCCCAAGGAAGAGATTGCCCCGTGCCATATATTTGCCTGTCGTGTTGACTTCCACCAATAGGTCCTGTATATACGAATCCTTTGAATGCTAAATAAAAGAAAAAATAATAATAAATATGTAATGGGTGATCCAAGCGTAGATACTTTTACAATAGCCTTTTTTTTTGACAATTAATGCGTGATTCGTGCCAAGCTGTCATTTTTGTTCGGTAAAGACCTATGCCTGAATAAAACTTAAAAATCGTTAAGTTTTATTACGAATTCATGTTCGGTAAAGTATGTGTTTCACTTCATTCAAATTACGGTCAACATAATCGGCCTACTGAACGTACTATTCACAACACCATCACCCCTCTTAAGACATAGTATATATTATTGGATAATATTTGACCGAATAGACCATGTCCAGCACGCAGTGAAGAAAATATAGCAGTCGTAGCCGAGAGCGTACACGTGGACACACAAGACCGTGGAGAGTCGGTTCTGCGCCGTTCGCAGCAAATCGGACTAATGTATGGAACGACTTGGCGCATTTTACGTCGAGATCTTAAATTGAAAGCGTAAAAAATAGAGCTTGTACAAGAACTGAATCCGCCCGACCTTCCTAAGCGACATTGCTTCGCTCTATGGGCTCTTGAAAAGTTCCAAGAATATTCGGCGTTTTCGAGCCAAATTTTKACACATTTCTGCCTCAATGAGTATGTAAACAAGCAAAACAGTCGCATTTGAGACAACRAGCAACCTGAAAAGAATCAAGAGCTGCCATGTCATCTGGAAAAACAACGGTTTGGTATCGTTTATTGACCAGTTGAATCATTGGTYCATATCTCTTCAAATTACCGCACCGTTATAGTGTCATGATAAATGACTATTTRATGCCTGAAATTAAAGCTTGTGATCTCGGTGATATTTGATTTCAACATGACTGTTCCACACCCACACACAGCATTAATCAGTGGATTTATGGAGAGAACACTTCGATTAGCAGATAATGTTACGTTCTGGGCCGGTCGATTTGTCACCAAGATCGTTCGATAAAGTCTAAAGTYTATGTGGACAATTCCACTTTGATTCAGGCCTTACAGCAAAACATCACGAGTGTCATTCGCCACTTACCAGTCGAAATGCTCGAACGAGTCAACGAAAATTGGACTCAATGGATGGACCATCTGAGACGTAGCTACGGCCAACATTTGAAAGATATAATATAAAAAAAATAAATGCCAAAAAAAGTTCTTTCAAATGATCATAAAGATTCCCCTTTAAATATGAAATTGTTGTGTTTTTTTCGTTAAAAAATAGTGAACCTCGAAATGGGTCACCCTTTATAATCTGCATTACATAAACTGTATTTAAATATGCCTTCAACTATTTTATGCCGAACTGTTTTATACTATATATCAAAACAAATATAAAGCCCGTTTCTCACGAAAATGTATTTTCCCACCCTCTCACCTTCAAGTCGTAGTAAAATGCTTCCAAATCGCTCAACAGCTTTTCGTACTTTTCCCGATCGTACAGCAATAGGTACGCCCGAAGTATGGTATTGAACCATAAAACCAACATGTACGAATTCCTTATGATGGAGTCGATACCTTCACTGGTGCGGAACATATAGTAAAGCTGTGTGAAAACCAAGAAGGTCGTCATCGACAGGCAAACATAACGTCGCCAGGTGTGTTCATAGATAAGTGACCAAAAGCGTAAGATTCGCACACTCATGTGGATCAATTGCAGATCGTCGAACATGCTACTCACTTTGCTCCCTTCTACGTTAAGATAAGTGCTTAAAGTATGGATACCAGGAACTAACTTTCTTGCACTCTGTTATTGGTTTTTATACGAAAATTTGTAATGCTTATGGCTGTTCGACCTTCAAGCGATAATTTGAATTCGAACAAATTGGTAAAAATGTGGTGGGTGCGCAACAATTAAATGATTTTGCGGGTTAGAGGCGATTTTCATGTAGCACTGAGAGAAATTTTTATCAAGTTCTACTTTAAATTAGTGTTATCGTATTAAGAACTTATAAATGCATCAATTAGGGGTTATAATTTATGAAGTGGAAGATAAGAAATTTTTAAGATATTGGATAGAATATTGGGAGTGTTTATGATATCTTGTAGAAGTACATATTGCAGCTCATGGGCAGTTTAAATACTAAGCTGCACAGTTTTAACGAACTCCATGTTATTATTTTCTGACTTTTTCATCGCTCTTAAGGAATTTTTACTCATATTTTTTATTTTGAAAATTTCTGTGACCAAACATTTTCCTCACTGTTAAAATTACATAAGGTCAAAAAATTAAAAATTTCACCATATGCACTTAAGTGAATAAATGTATGTACATACATATATATGATGAGCAGAATGTAATAGACAATAAATAAAAATTCGAAGTCATGCAATTTATTCTGGTAATTAAATTGATTATTGGAAAATTATGCTTGTTTAATATTAGATGCCAATAGTATCTAGTTCAGACTGAGTTTTCCGGTCTAAACGCAGTTGACTTTTTTCACATTATTAGTCCTGCAAATTTGAGGTCAAACGTTAACAGGGGTACTCTCTTAATACAGAAATTAACACCATATCATATAGAGACCAAAGCGGTGTTGAGGATAACATGAGATTACACTGAAGACTACAGTCGGTTAAGGTAGATCTACGAACGGCGCTGATGTTCACTGGAACATATTTTCCAAATGGAAACAAGCGACTACACCGAACTGAATATATACAGCTTGAGGGCAGTAGAAAATGATTATTCTATTTTTGCAGCAGCAAGTGAAGCTGAAGTTCAATTAATGTGGTGCTTCGAATCATATTTTAACCACTTGTAGATCAATCAAGCAGCARAAGAAATAGTCTCAGGTACAACTATACTTTTCAGCATATTTTTACGATGCGGATTGATAGTACTTGGATGAAAGTAATAGGATTTTCTTACGCCGAGACTGTACTTTGTAGCGTTCGCGCATCGACTGGATTCGGTAAAGGGTGTTCTTAGGTAACGAACTAGCGACTGTTCAGTTGTCTCCGAGGCCCTGGAGAGTCAGACGAACATTTTCGCGCGACGTGTTTCTTTGAGTGGTGCAAGCCGAAAATGCAGCGTTCGTTTGAGCAGAGGTACGCGATTAAATTCTGTATGAAACTCGGTAAATCTGCAACAGAGACGTTTGATATGATCAAGCAGGCTTTAGCAGATGTGGCTTTAGCAAGGAGTGGTGTGTTTTAGTGGTACCAGGCCTTTTGTAGAGCCGGGAAGAGGTCGCTGATGAAGACCGTGCTGGGAGACATTGACAATGTGACTCATGTGCGCAAAGTTTTAAACTCAGTCCGTCGACTAAGTATTAGTTTAATTGCTCAGATGTTAAATTTATCAAAATTTGTGGTTCATGACTCAAAATGTAGGGTCAATCGGGTCCGACAAGACATCACAGMCGATTGGAAGTTGCACCACGACAACACCCTGGCTCACACCGGCTTTCTTGTGAACAGCTACGTAACCAAAGTCGACATTCCATCGCTTTCGCAGCCGCCCTGCAGCTCAGATGTGGCAACCCGGACTTTTTTGTTTCCTTGCCTGAAAAGTCCGACGAAAGGCAAACATCCAAAGGCAAACAACAGGATCCAAGCAGCATTCACATCGGCTCTCAAGGCTATTCCGAAGAGTGTCTTCCGTGGCACCTTCAATGCTTGGAAATCGCGCTATTAGCGCTGCGTCGACGTAGAAGGAGCCCACTTCGAAAGTTTTTAAAACATTGTAACAATTGGTTGAATAATTTTTTTTAAATCGACTCAGTTCTATTACTTTCCGGACAAACCCTGTATGACGCCATCGTGTACATTTGCTGCTTACAAATTCCATTATTTTGGTCCCAATTAACATTTAAATTTTTATTTACATTTCAGCAATTCAGAAGATGGACTCAAATTYCGTTCGTAACAAAAATCAGAGACGACACACTTTTAACCGCCACTGTCAATTGAATGAAMACTCAGGTGGCAATCCAAAGAAGCGTTGATACTCACGCGGTAAAAGACAATTTACTAGCCCCGTGTTGAGCTTCTACATAAAACATATATATTCACACATAGATATACAAATGCACATACATAAATARTCCAGCATAGTATGTAGGCATTTGGTTATTATGTACGCGTACTCGTCCGCAGCACCAACGAAGAAAGTTCACAAAGCAATAGAAGAATTTCTCTTCGAAGCCAAAAGAATTGAGCGCATGAAAGAAAACTCCAACGGACTCAGACCAACTYGAACCAGCTCAGACCATGGCATTGGCATTGGCAAAGAGACATTGGAAGCCAGCACATTGGCTGATGCGATGGAATTCCATGGCTGACCAGCGGTTTTGTGTTGTTGCGCTGTTGCGCCACATCCAGAGGTTCAATGTTTAGGTTACTCATMTTAATATTTYAGTTGAGTGCCAGCTTTTGACGGAACTTGTTCTACTTTCTGTAATAAAACGGCATTATAAGCGCCGAAGTGCTTTTGAAATTCAAGGAAAAGTGTTTGAGTTCAAAAGTTACAACTATAAGAGGTGCAACTGAAGTCAAGTAAAATAACTGTGTAAATAGAAAAAACAAAAGAACTGGAAAAGTTTCTGAAGTGCATATTTCGGAGAATTCGAAAAGYTCGTGTGATGGATTATCGTCTGCTTTTGGTAGGTTATACATTTAATTCTTAGTTTTGATAGGTGAAAAGTAAGCCTTAATTTTTTGCCTTCTTGTTGTTTTAGTGCGCTTAGAAGCACAGTAGCAGGCATTTCGGCCTCCACTTGTGATGCAGATTCATGTGCCACTGCATGTACATATGTATATATGTATGTATGTATGTATGTATGTGTGGGAATACGTGATTGCCTCAGCATGTTCTAGTTGCTGGTCCCGTTTTTCCATAATTTAGCATAACAACAAAGCAATAAATGTGCAAGGTAATTAGCTTTGCGCTCTTTCTGTCTTTTCTACTGGCCACTTTCATGCGAGCGGGAGAGTTGTCGGTTGAAGTTTGTGGCTCAACTCTTTAGTTCTAAGGCTCTAAGGAAGCGAGCAAGAAAACTTCTTGTGACCATGTAAATGTGCGCGTGTGTACAAGCAGCTTCTAGCGTCGACACTTGCTGCAGGTTCCTGTTGCTTTCGCAACTCCAAGCGTTTTATTTAAATTTCCACAGCTGAATGGTTACAATAACAACAATTGGAGTAAAAAGGCAAAATTACGCTTGACTAAGCTTAGCGGTAAAATTTGCGAGTTCAATAGTTGCGAAAGTATTCAAATGATAAATAGCTCGCAAGATTTTGCGTAGAAGCCATCATTGACGCTATTAAAAATTCGAAAAGCAAATAGTAAAAGCGAGCCAGTTTCCCGTTATTTACCTATAGAATTACATGTATTTAGAACGATTCTTCACAGTTTGTTGGCTACACAGCGCTCATCTGGTTATGCCTGCACCTATGACAAAGCTGCTTCGATTTACCGGTATACCATTGTACACACATACACACACACAATGTATGTCTATTAGTACATAAGTAAACAGCTCAGCATGTCTGTATATATGTATGCGGGGTTCTGCTGTTTAGTGGCACTGTTACACAAGCATGCCCGAGATATGGGAACAGAAATATTTTAAAAATAAGATTTTTTTGTGGAGATATTTGTATGAGCGCCACGTCTTTTTTCGTTGCTAAAAAGTCGGTCACGACATGCCGTTGCTTTCTTTTTGCTTCTCTCCGAGTTATTTGAATGCGTTCTTTCTGACACCTTGGCAGCCGCTCACCGCTGCGTAAACAAATTAATTACGAAATAAACAGTGGTCGACAGCCGTTATGGACATTTTGGCAAGTGATTAACCGTAATCCCACACACACACGCATACACATGTAAATTAAATTTTCAAAGAACGGCATACTAACTAAAGCACGAAATTCATAACAGTGCTGCCATCTCCCGCTGTAACTCGCTCACTCACTCGTTCACTTGGTCAATTTATTATCAAAACTTTCATTAATTTTTTTCCCTGAAATTTATTCGAGTAGCATCTATTGCTGCGCTGTGTGTTTGAAACGAGCGCCGCGCTCTTATAGCATTTACATTTCCATGTTAGTTCGGCGGTGAATGTTGCGGCAATCAACAACAACTCAGCAGTAAAGCGGCAATGCATCAAGGTGCTGTTGAACGTAGAATCCGAGTGCTGACGTCTGACCTAATTCAGCTGTTTTGGTATGCAAAGCGAGAGCATAGCATATTTAGTTCGCTTAACGCCSTGCAGTCTCGCTCCCGCTGCTGCTGCTCCACCACCTGTGCACTGAAGTGACACAAATGCTGACTGTGGCGTACGCATTTAGGCATCAAAAGAAACTTTTTGATTTCCAAAAATCCCGTCATCTTCATCACAACAACCACAATAACMACAACGCTCAACCTAACTGTGTTGATAGCAAATAAAAGGGTAGAAATCAGTTACAGTGGCGGTGTAATTATGTGTAGCGTGAAGAAAGTAACAAATCAGGCATGATCGCTGGCGCTTGGCCCTTGAAAGGTTAAAGAAACCCAGCTACTGCGCACGTACATATGTATGCATGTATGTAAAGCGGAAAGAGTGGGTTTTCCAGTGGAATTCGTTGAAATTGTGGAGGGTCACTTTTGATTTCACTTAACCATTGAAAAGTGTGAACAAATCTCTAATGGATTCTAGGTAACAAGTTAAAGTGAAAGGAAAGTTTTATTTTTGTATCTATATACGTATGTATGTATGTATTGAAATGTGCATTCCTTAAATAAGTGGTGCCACAATAGATGTTACAACTTTAGTATAAAAGACGAAAAATATTCAACTTCAGTTGAAGTTCGAGGCTATAATACCCTTCATAACTGCATTTCTTATAGCATAAAATGGTATAAAAAGACCTTGATTTCATTTTGGTTCGATCAGTTTGTGCGGCAGTTATATGCTATTGTGGCCCGATATTGTTAATTCCGACCAGTGAGCTGCTTCTTAGAAAGACAATGATGACTGCAAGATTTCAGATTCATATCTCTAAAACTGAGGGACTAGACAGACAGACATGGCTATACCGACCGAGCTGGTCWTGCAACCAACGTTTCCTTCTRAGTTTTACAAACTTCGTACCAAATTTGAATATACATATGTAGCTTGTTATGTGTATAAAAATAAGTAAATAAATATTATATAAATTATAGAAACAGTCTTGTCTTGAATTTTAAAAAAGATTTCTCTATGAAATATGTATTATTTTTACTTTACTGAAGGCTAGTTGGAAAAAATACACTTGCTTGAAGAATAGACTCCAAAATTTTGAAAAGATCAGGAGAATTTACTATTAATATTTTTAATTTACTATTATATCATACACATTTTGATTATTTGGTTTGTTTTTTAATAACTAATGATCAGCAATTTCCATTAATCATGTGCAGCCATGTTCAATATCATGCTTGGTTCACAGCTTTAATTAGATGTAAACAAATTGTTGTCAATGAAAGAAAAAGTTAATTAAGAGAGTTAATGAATCTTTCGAACATTCCAAAACGTGCTGGGACATGTGAAAGTTGAAATTTCTAAAATAAAAAATTACATATTTTGTTTTACTACATATCTTTTATCATGAAAAAATAGTGAGATCACAAAAATGTGCAACAACAATAGAACAAAAGCATCCAGCAAGACATGAACGATTGGAAAGCCCGGTTCAATTTTTTCAAAATTGCTACTTTTTCGTTTAGATATACATACATATGAGTTTACAAATCCTTCTTCACCGAAAAACTTAAAAGTGCAAGTAAATAAATAATTACTTGTTACAGCAGAAAATACATTTTCTATTTATTATTTATAATTTTTTTTACTCTTAACTTTGAGAAAAAGTCACCAACATAATTAGCAATAATACATTTGTACATATTTATATGTTTTTATATGTATACAACATAACAGTGGTGCTGTTAGCAACAATTAATGTGAAATATGTATATTTCACAAACATACAAACGTACACAATCAACAATAAATGTCATTTATCTCATAAAATAAACCGCCAACAATTAATTTTTGGCGAAAGTTAGTGTTTATGTTTATTTTCGTTCGACAGAAACGACAATACCGCGGAAAAAAGTTCCATTGCGAAGTCGCAGCACTTCGAGTCTTCAAGAAACTGAACTCTTTAGATGACTTCAGACACTTTCATTGTCATTGTTATTGTGTTGTACGAGTATTTACTTTTAATTTTTTCATTTTCCTTTCTTGTGCTTTTTTTCGGTCTCTGTATTTGTTCTTCTCGCACGAGAGTCGACTGAAGTGGAATTGGAAGTAAAAGTGCGTGCCTTCATTAATGAAATCATAGCATTCGTACAATTTTCATGTAATCCAGAAATAATTGTACTCATTGTATTCGCTCACTATTCCACAATGGATGGGGGGAAAAGTGCCGAAATGTCGAATAAGATCTCACAGCTTTAAAAAAAATGTATATATATAACGATATATTCCAACCCTATAGTAAATATTTGCTGCAGCTAGATACATATGGATAATTAAAAAAAAAAAATTTAAACTACATAAGTAGGACGGTACAAAATTCAAAAACTTAAGGTATTTTAATGTAAATCTTTATTATCCTTTTTAAAATAAACTCCAAGTATGCCAACGCTTAATATAAAAGGAAATCCATTTGGAGATTCCCTACATCTTTAAAGAAAAAGCACAGAAACATCAAATTTAATGGAGAATATTCATTATCATCCAAAAGAACATTCTTTGGCATTTACTTTTTGAGGATTATCTGCTTCAAATGTTGGCCGGGGTTACGTCTCAGATGGTCCATCCGTTGAGTTCAATTTTCGATGACTCGTTCGAGCATTTCGACGGATAGCTGGATGATACACGTTATGTGTTGCTGCAAGGACAGAAAAGAGTCTAACAGTGTGATATCACACAATCTTAGTGGCCAATTGACCGACTCGAAATTAAAATTATCTACTCACCGGAATGTTATCTCAATAAATCAATTGATTGATGCGATGTGTGGGAAGTGGCATTCTTTTGTTGAAACTAAGATGCCATGAGTTTCAATTTCAGACGGCTTCTGTTCTTGCTGTATTTTGTACGTTTTCAATTTAAGACCTCGACTAAAATGTGACATTCCGAGTTGCTGTGACCGGCACCGAATCGACCATCCCTTCGTGAACACTCTCAGCTACGGCTGCTATATTTCCTTATATATATATATATAAACTTTGTTCATTTTGAAATGTCAAACAATATTGAATAAAAATAAGATGACAGATTGACGCGACCCACGCGTGATCTGTCATAAAAGGCTATTGAAAAAAGTACCTCTACTTGGGCCACCCGTTTTTCAATGCCTTCAGCGAATTTTGGTTTTTTCGATTTCCATTCGCTGGACAATTTCAACGTCATATTTAAAAACCGACGTGTCATCACTAGTAATGGTGCGTTTGATGAATGTAGAGTCCTCAGCTACGTTGTCAAGCACCTTTGCGGCGACTGCACGACTTTGCTTTATTTTTTTTAAATAAGGTATTTTGTTACGATTTTATATTCACATGCTTCATGCTGAAAGCTTTAACCAAAATGTATTGACTTGATCCATATGAGATATTGAGGTCTTTTTTATCTCCCTGAGGTCAACACGTCGATTTAAGCATTGTTTGTTTCACTTTTCCGATTGTCATTCACTGAATGCTTTGTATGCTCGTGAAAAAGTGGGCTCCCCAAACACTTCTGTAACATCGCGGCTACGAACCTTGTGTCTGTTGGAAACACAAATTCAAGCAAACTAGTTGTTTTTTCCGTGTTAAAAATCTCCGGATAATTTTTTCGCGTCGTTAAAGGGATAACATAATCTAGGAAAATCCTTTTTATCACTATTTATAAGGATGAATCCGATTAAAATTTAATCAGATGGTTTTTTTTATAATTTTTTTTTCAAGTGGTTTTTTATTATTATACTTTTGAATTCGTTTGAAAATCTCTTGTTAAAGTCCAAAGAATTAATTTAAATGAATCAAAGAGTAAAGAGTTTGTTAATTATAATGTATCTGTTGAAATCATGTTCACACTCGTTCAATTACAATTGTATCTTATACATATGCATGTGTAATAAGAGAACTTATGTTCTTTTTTTAGAAGATAATCTGCATTTCGCTGATCACCGTTGACACTTCTGCGCAAACACCGAATGATTATGGCGAGGAACCGCCCGAGGGATACTACGCATTTGTCGAATCGCCAAATTCTGTACCACCAAAAGTGCGACCACCGCCCTACACGCATGTCAGTGCGGACTGCAAGAATGTAGGTGGCAACAAAAAGGCAGCTGTTTCGGTTAACAACATTTGTGGTGATCTAAACAAAGGACAAATTCCGCAAAATCCCATGAGACAGAATGTTCTCGGCGAGCCGTATCCATTGTAAGTTTGCATTGCATTATTTAGATTAAAGAGGAAAATATTGAAAACAAAGCATTTTTGTAATTGTAGTGAGTTGATACGTAACCAGACACTCAAGTTTTTATCGAAAACATTGCCTGTGCTTAAAGCTGACGATACTTTGCCCAAGGTGACACAAATTGTACGTGACGAACCAGTCGATCCGGTGGAGAACAACAATATTGACCGTCACTATAATGCACGAGCAAAACGAGCCACGCCTCCACAGCCACAAAGCCAGCCGCGTGTCGAGGACCACGAATTCAGTTATTTTGATCCTGCTCTAGACGAAGAACAGCGTGCAAATAGTCGTGCTTCCGAGGAACGAAAGCCACGCAAGTTCTGCGATGGCGGTGGAGTGTGAGTGTACATCCTGATATATTTTTGAATAAAAAAAATATAAATAATGATACATTTTTGCAGCTTTTGTACTTTATATCGGGCCATTCAAGGCGATACATCGACCGCACCACAAGCCACAGCTGAACGTCGTGAGGAAATCGGTCCGATACGTTATGAAGGTCCACCCACACCATGTCCTGCCAAAGTTGAATACGCTACACCAGTGTTCGCGAAAAACTATCAGGGCTTCTGGCGTTACGTTGTGCAAATTCCATACGAAGGCTATTTCACGCAAACCGTCGAAGTGACTCGCTGCATACAAGCCCGCTGTCATTACTTGGACGGCGGTTGTCTATCCTCGCCGCGTTGGGTGAGCCTACTTGTCGCTGAAATTTTCTACCCGAACGCAGAGGACGCCGTGCCGACGACTTCAACGACCACGCCAACGCCTTCCGTGCAAGACTTCCAAGCTTACCAGCAATATCTGCAAAGACGTGCCGGCGTAGCCACCGCCTCTGATGGTACCAGCCCAACCAGCAACGTCAACGCACCCGAATACAATCAGCACTGTGATGGGCACGATGATATCGGTTGTTTCCAAGTGCGTTTGTACTACGATTGGTTCCTTATTCCCGGCTCATGCAAGTGCTGGCGCCCAGACTACTTTGCCAAATATGTGCGCAGAAAGTCCGTAGCGGATTTGTAAACGGATCAGCAGTAACGCAAAATACTCACGTACACGTTATCTGTTTGAAACGGAAAATCTCAAAAGTCTCCAACTGGACTCATTTACCTATAATCCTGTCTTCTAATTTAATTTTTAAGCATAAATGCGCGACGCTCCGTTGCCTTTATGAATTAGTTTAATATTAAAAACTGATTGGTGAAGCTTTCATTCTAAAATTCCAGCTCAATACTATCTGACTACAAACATTATATTTTCCAGATACTTGGAATTTTCAGAATTTTAACTTCGCAGCTACTAATTAATATTCAATACCTAAATACTAACTAATTAGTTTAAGGTCTTATTTAACTCTATAAGCGTATACATATTGCTCACAACCGTTGAGGTCAATAAACTGAAAATAGGGAAGGTCAGTATGGTGCAGTTGTCTCGCTTACACGTATCTCTTTCTATTGAACCTGTGTACGAGTATTTGACGAGTATTTGAAAAAGTACCCCGTTTATGGTATTACTTTTAAGTTATTGTAAGAAGCAATTATATACTTAAATATAAATATTAAATAACTGTATCTTTACCTTTATCTGATATTCATAATAATTATAGAAATATAAAACAACTAGTGTAAACAAAAACTGACTTTTATTTGAAATCACAAACATTTCTATACAAGCCATAAGTGGTGTCGAGATTTACCAAGTGTGTTCGAAAATTAAGGAGACTTTTTTAAATCCCCAGTTCTGTGTGTTTCAAATCATATATGGAACAACATTGTTTGGGAGCGAATTTTTTACTAAAAGCTACACCCACCACCTCTACGATTTTTTTCTTGGCGAAACCAAAGAACCTCATGAACAGAGAGATTTGAAGGAGCTATCAGATATGCTTTGATAATTGGAAGACAAGATAAAAATCACCACGTCATTTGTTTTGAAACGCCTAATAACACCTTAATGGCCGAGACTCGGTAACCAATCCGTCACTTTGTGGCTTCTAAAAATACTGTTATGCTGAAGAAGGGCAAGATTAGGGAGAGGGGGGAGGAGGAGATCGGGCACAAATCCTTCCTAGCCATGAGTTCTTAGAAAGGCCCCGCCATTCCCACGGCAGTCGGGTGTACGTAACCGGAACAGTGACCAAGCAGCACTCGAGTTCTCATTTTCTTCCTCTGCGACGCCATATATCTACCGGTCCACGTGAAATATTAATGTTTCTGACTGCCACTCAGGAGAGGGTAAGACATTCTCAAATATCTCCTGTCATCAAACAAAAAGTCGTCGCACTCGTAATTCGGCTCCCACGTTGTTATTGACTGTCATAACTTCGCCACATCGCCACTCTCGAAATCTAACACAAATAACTCTTGCCAACAGGTGCTACTTCAGGCTGAGTAGGCAATTAAGAAGTAAAGTCCTCTCTCGACGAGCAAAAACCAAACTCTATAAGTCACTCGTTTTTCCCATTCTGCTATATGGTGGATGGTATGGTAGAGACATGGACGATGATAATATCTGATGAGCCGACGTTACGAGTTTTCGAAAGAATGGTTCTGCGGAAGATTTATGGATCTGAAGGATCTTGCTACACTTGGCATATGCAATTAATCTTTATTTACACAAATTTCAAAAAGAACTGTCACAACCAATACATTATAACTAACGCGAATTATCAGCAACGATATAATATATAAATATTATATAACTAATCGATAAAGCTGAAAGATATATGCTCTGAATAACAATAAAATTAGGCTCATTATACTTGAAGTTTGTTGGGGTAAATCAAAATGACAATTCATCCTAGACCATAATCTATTTTCTTGTGTTCGTGTAATATCTGCGGAACTTGACTTCAGTAAATAACGGAAAATAGAGACTTGACGTTTTATTATAGTTGAGTAATATATTTATCGAAGGAAAAATTGAAATTTCTTTATATTTTTAAACTAAAAACATTACACTTGAATTTGACCAACAAATTGAGATAATGTCGGCATGTATGCAGAGATTAATGCCGAAACCAACGAATAATTTGCAGGGGTGTGATCTTTCTCAGCACAAGTGAGTAAATATGTAAAACTGAAAAGCGGAAAAAAAGATGACATGCCTACTAGCAAACCTCATGTAATGTTATAATTACTGTTATAAATAAAACAACAAGTAAGCATTATAGCGTTTAAGTATGTACCGATATGTGGTAGACGAGCGCATTTATAGTGATCATGACAAGCAACATTAAGGTAAAGACTTGTATTAAAATTGTTGAAATAACTGTGAGGCATAGATGAGCCGCACCTAGTATAGCTCATGCGCGATGTTTCAGTTCCCAGTAAACAGTTGCAAGTTAATATCACATTTTTACAGAGCATGCACAGTTCCCAGAGCGCTGCACCAGCTTGAACGCGATGCGCTAGAGAAAAAAAAAAAATATGTAAATATGCGCGGCGCGATGCACCATACTCGAATTATGATGTAAATGCTTGTACAATGTGAGGAAGGGAACAAAAACAAAATCGAGGCAGCGATGATAACTGGAAGAGGCAAAAAACTAGATTCGCATGCGCTCACAGGTAGCCTTAGCAGCTAAAAGACCCACAGCAAACCACTGTGTCTATATGCAGCCGCCAACAAACCAACTCAAGCAATAACAAATTCCACTAGTGCGGCTGAGGCGTAAATTGTGCTGTGAGCCGCGCACACATGYACCAAGTCGACATGCAGCGWCGCTTTTATGGACGCGTGCGCGCAYATTTATTGCATACCAACTTGTCTTGCTGTGTTGCGGTGACGCACCGTCGGCTATCTGCCGCAGTCTGCATGTTCYGTCTAGCATTTTTTGCACCTTTTTGACGAGATTTGCTTTATTGACTTCTTCTGCGCAGCCAGCCAGTCAAGAACTGTTTGAAAATAGATTAGGAAGCTAAGGAACCTTGCAGCCGAGCTCACTGCGAGCGCCAATGGCACGGACATGGCCAGCAACCAGTATTCGCGGGCAAAGTGGCATAGCAAAAAAGGTAAATCGCAGCGCGCCAATGCTCTGAGTTGGTTGTTTATGATGACGACGGCGGCGGCGGCAGCGGCAGTAGTCAGAGCGGCAGCGGTGGCGTGCACATCAACGTTAACAAGTCTGGGCGAGTTCATAGTGTATAGTGAATTTCGACTGCTCTGCGCGTACGGATTGCATTCCATTAAAAACACTGTAGCGCTCGTGTATTCTAATTATTAAAATAAAAATCGCAAATAATTTAAATCTGAATTTTTGGAATAACGAAATAAACTGTATGTTCATATGGAAAATATTATAAGATCCCTTTGAAATTTTGCACGTGGAACTGGGAGACAATTTATGTGGTGTTGTGCGCGCAACTTGTTACATAGCTCGCAAGAGTGACGACAAAAAAAGCGGTTTGACAAGACAAGTTCGTATCTTTAATCTTTTGTTTTGTTTTCATCTCGAAATATGTACACACCACATTTCGGCCGTTGATAACTGTGGCAACTTGCGACCTGTGTATCGCACGCTATTAAATTATTAATTTAAATTAATTGTTGAATTAATAAAATTTGAAGCGAAAAGAGAAAATCCATTCTAAAGTAAAATCTGTTTGTCAGAAATTCGCCAGTGTGCTGTTAAATGTTGAAAGATTCGAATTTTTACGAACAACTTGTAGTGTTATCACAGCAAAGGCTTATCAGCAGAGGGTTAAGCATCAAATATTGGGTAGTCAAAAGTATTTTCGTATTTTGTCAATAAATGTGGTTGAAGTCGTAAATCTAGCATACTACCCATCACATTGTATCATATCATATAGTGTTCATTTAACCAAAAAAAATTAAATTCGGGAAAGTTGAAAGTTCAAAAATGAGTGAAAATAATGGAGAAATTCGCCATATTTTGAAATTTTTGTGAACAAAAGGAAAGAATACCACGCAAGTCAACAGTTTATGGAAAGACTTTTTAGACTACACAATATTTGTACGAAGGTGGCTCTATAACCCCATAGCCTAGAGAAGAAAAATAAAATTGGATTGCTGTGTTGTACCGTCGATTTATTCCTCAGCATAGTCTCCTTTTAGCTTGCCTTAGAAATGCTCCAATATATGTATTTAACTCGTCTGAAAAGTATATTTTCTGGAAGTCTGCAAAGTAGGCTTAAACTAGAGAATCGCCAGATAGGGCAGCAGTTCATAGGCTAATTCGACCAATTTGGCAGAGGTGTCAACCGCTGCAATGCTGGAATACACTTTTTGCTTCGCAAATCTTGGTCTTTCTACTGCGATTCGGCATCGACTT